CCTCAAGAAGGACGAGTAGTGCAACTCGGCCTCGTGCCTTAGGTTTACTTGTGATGACACCAAGATCTTAGTGTATGTGCCTTGGGCTTAGGGAGATGCCAAGGGCTTTTTTATCGATGTAGATTGAGTTTGATGTGCCTTAGTTTTTCCCTAAAATGGAACCAAGATCTTTTTGTCAATGGCGTGCTTTGGTTTTACCTTGAATAGGTACCAAGGGCTTTAAGGTCGGAGCCGATTGAGTGGAGGCGTGCCTTAGCTTTATCATGAGAGGGTACTAAGGGCTTTTATCGATGGCGCGCCTTGGACTTACCCTGAGTAGGTGCCAAGGTATTTTGTGAATGACGCACCCTTGTCTTACCCTGATTAGGTGCCGAATTCTTTTGAGTCAAAACTAATCGAGTGGAGACGTGCCTTAGTCTTACCCTGAGAGGGTACCAAGGGCTTTTATCGATTGCGCGGCTTGGTCTTCCCCTGAGTAGGTGCCAAGCTCTTTTGTCAATAGTGTACCTTGATCTTACCCTAATTAGGTGCCAAGGTCTTTTGAGTCAAAGTCGATTGAGTCTAGGTATGCCTTAGTTCTAAATTGAGAGGGTACCAAGGGCTTTCATCGATGGCACGCCTTGCAGATAACCGAATCAATGATGATCGATCAACAAGAGCTACATATAGATACAACATGAAAAAGCATACTATTAATTTAATTACCCTAGAGAGAACCTTATTTGTCTTAGTATTATTCATGAAAGCGACGCCAAGGTCTTTGGCTGAAGTAGGCTGAGTTGATGGAGATCATCCTTGGTGGCAGCTTCTCATCTCATGATTTGAGCATAAGGGGCCATTCGCCCTGAGGTAAAGGAGAGATGAAGGGCCCCACGGTGGGTGCTAAAATGTTGATGTTAGTTATCAAACAAGGACTTTATTTGTGGATTAAAGTAGAATCATGATCCTCAAAGTCCTTCAAACTCCTGACTTTATAGATTGCAGGTCTTCCGTGCATAAGAAATACTCGTGAGAGGCTAGAGTTAGGTTCTCCGGTAGTTTCTCCGATGATCAAGTCAGTGTTTGAACTTGTGTGGAAAGTATATAATAAGTAAGTAAATAAATGCAGAGTTGTCAAAGTTACCTGAAGCCAAAGAAGGTACCTCGTGTAGTGACACTTATCTTTATAGCAGATTGGAAGGGCAAAGAGGTAACTGTGGTCGAGTCTAGGCCGGTAGCTAACTCAGCAGACAGTTAATAGGTGTTGGTCACTAGCAAAGATTTGTCATCCAGGTGGCTAGTGCCAAGCGACAACAGCTGGTTGGTGCTGATGGAGCCTAATAAGTCGTAAAGACTTTGGGGACTAGAGCAATAATGACTTTGTCCGAGTAGTTAATGCAAGGAGTAGGCAGTTGTCGGCGCGGTTTGAGAAAACTACAACCTCTTTAGTGGTCCGACAAACACCGCCCGTTTTGTCGGTTACGAAAGTTGTCGATTGATATAGCGGGTCGGGTGTAAAGTCTCGAGGGCTCGACTTGAAGAGTAGGCTGACAAGTATCGCCTCTCAAGTCAGCCACGAGAGTTGTTAGGCCTATGTAGTTAGCTGCAGAAGTGGATTGATTTGTCAGAGCTCTGATCATGTCTGATCTGGCACGGAGCTGGACACGTGTTAGTTTTTCATGGGGGGTTAACACTAAGTTATTTTCAGGTTATAACAGTCATCATTAACACCATAATTGTGCATATACTTTGTATCTGTAGGATGCAATTGTACTGGAGACGAAACGTGTGTCATATCTAAAATCTGACTAGCAACACTATTTGTCTACTCTACTCTCCTGAGATCTACAATAGTCTGGTCCTCCTAAAAGACTATAGTTGCATGTCTAATAATTATTATTTTCTCTATATCATAGCTTGTAGCTGAATTTATCTTCTCCATAGCCAAGACAGATGCATGGAACTACCCTATCATCTAGCTTCTATCTATTCTCCTTTGGAATATGTACAAACACTTTATAGCAAACACCTTTAGATAAGAAAGGGAAATATTCTTTCCTAACCAAACTCTCTCTAGCATGTTAAAACCCAAAGAAACTTAATGATACCTGTTAATTATGTAGCATGCCACACAAATACTTTTAGCCCCAAAGGTCTTTGGTAAATTCCCCATCTTCAACCTACAAATGACTTTTTCTATAATGGTCTTGTTGTACCTGTTTGCAACTCTATTGTGCTGTGGGCTGTGTCCTCTGATGTCAAATATCATGCTTGGAGCAATAATTTCTAAACTCAATAGAAATGTAATCCTCTCTATTATCAGTGTGCAGATACTTCAACTTCTTGCCTGACTACCTCTCCATCATGGCATGAAACTGCTAGAAGACTATAAATACCTAATCATTTGTCCTCAATATGAAGACCCACATCTTCTGTGATGCAACATCAATAAACGTGATAAAGTACTTGTTTGCCATCCAAAGACACAATCTCGATAGGACCATAAACATCAAAATAAATTAAATCTAGAATATTATCTTTTCTTTTAGAAGGCTTCCTTAACAAAACTTTATATTACTTGCAAAATAAATAATAACCACAAGGGGTAAGTAATGAACCTTTGGCAAATCAAATGAGAGACATCTTTGCTAATACCTGCAACCCCTTCTCACATAAGAGCCCGAGCCTCTTGTGCCACAAATTGAGAGAGCCATCTTGAGCCGCGCTCAACGAATAATAAGATATCTTTGCTTGAGTGTACAAATTACAACATATATTTTCTCTATCCACTATAAGAGAGCCTCTGGTGATTTTACATTTTCCTCTACCAAAGTGAATGTCATATTCCATTCAGTCTAAAGTAAGGCCTGAAAGCGAGTTGGGCGCAAATTGGGAATATGTCGTGCATTCTTCAAGTTCAATGTGCATCTGATATCAGTCTGCATGTGTATGTCACCAAGTTCGACAATCTTCAAGTAGCTAATATTGCCCATCTCCATATTGCCAAAGTCACCTGCTCTATACGACATGAAAAGATCCTAGTTGAAGGCATCATGACATGTAGCTCTTGTATCCATCATTCAGTCGAAATTCTAACCTTTAAGATGCATGCAATCTTTTTCACAAAAGTGAGAATAACATCGGTCTTAGACAAAATATCAATAGTCTCATTGTCTACATTCTTCTTCTCATCTTTGTTCTCATCTTTGTTCCAACCTTGCTCCTTCTTCCATATCCAACAATTCTTTCTAATATAAGCTAGCTTCCCACAATGAAAGCAACATTTTCCCATTAGACTTTGATATGCCCTTGGATGCACCATGACTTTTGGACTAGTCTCCGTACCTAGTTCTGCCCCTATTCTCCGTAATAAGTGCCTGTGAGTTATATGTATTGGTAAATTTCCTCTGAGTCTCCTTATTGAATAATATGCTACTAACTATACTCATCGATAACACACTATATGGAGCAGCATTGTTAACCGTCACCATCACTATATCCTAACTACCTGACAAAGAACCCAATAATAACAAAGGTTGTATCAACGAGTGTCATCTTCATAGTAGCTAACTGATTAACCAAACTGTTAAACTCATTCAAGTTCTCTACTATGCTGCTCCCTGAACTTCAAGTTCACCAACCGGCTCATAATGAATGCCTTGTTCCATGCGGTCTTCTTCTCATAGAGATCCTCAAGTTTCTCTCATAGAGACTTCGCATTAGTCTCACTCGATATATGGTGAAACACACTAACATCGATCCACATCCAAATATAACCAATCGCTTTACTATTTTGTTTCGCCCACTCCTTATTAGACATCTTTTTCGCTTAGCTTCATCTTCCTCTATAGGATTTTTTAAATCCTTGCAATAGAGAATATTTTCCATCTTGGACAGCCATACTTGCCAATTGAAACAATTCATTTTTATCATTGTACCAAAATTCTACATCTTTTCCATCCCAAAGGACATCTCAAACTAGGGCTTTAAAACTCATTGTTAGGAATTTGTGGGGATTAAACTGTGGAATTAAATACGAGAAATAAAAAATAGCACCAACAAAAATATCACACATAAGCAAACATTAAAATTTAACATGGTTCGAAAACTATGTCTATGTCTACGGGACAATCCAGAAAAAAATATTCCACTATGAAACAAGAGTACAAGTCCTCAAAGCTACACGTACATTTGAGAATTAAATCACAAGAGAAAAATACAATATTAACTCTAGGACACCAAAACATAAAATCTGTCTCACTATAAATATCCAACACCTGTGGAGAATCTAGAGATATCAATACGACACCCTTGGACGGTTTGGTTGTTCTAAAGAGAACGACTTGTGAATGGCTGCAATCAGACAATGGATTGATCCGAAATTAACTTTTTTCTAGTCCTCTCTTTCTTTCTCTCTTCGAAAGCAGCGCACAAAAAATTAGGTGCTCTCCGTTTCGGCTTCTGTTCACTATAGGGATTCACAGATATTGCTCCTTATTTAAAAGGAAAATTATTCTGAGGTCCCCAGACCTATTAGAATGTAGGTTCAAATCCTTTATCCAGTAGAATTCAACATTGACCCAGCATTAGTGGGCCTAGCATGGGCTAGACCCACAAGGCCACAACACATCTGCACCGGTTTTTATCGGATAATAACCAAATTAAAAGGCTCAAATAAGAAACAAAAATCTGAAGCTACGAGATTGAAAAATAATAGTTGTTTGCATTTCTTCTATGCACTAAATTGTATGTCAATCTAAACGAACCTATTAATACTTTCAGTTCCGATAAACAGTGTAAAGTTTGGCAGCAATCACAACTCCCAAGTTATCAGACATTTATCCACACAAAATATGGGCTTGGGTTAACAAAATATTTCAGAAGTAAAATATTTTAATGGTCGACTTTAAATTTTGCTTTTACTCATGAAATACAAATTGTTAGATTCATTACCAGTTTAAAAATATCTAACAAAACTAAAAAATCCAATAAGAGCTAAATTAAGGTAAATTGATAGGCACCTTCTCCGGCCACTGAAGGTATTGCACGCTTACAGCACAAATCACTGCATCAAAACTGCAATCCTCTGCCTGAAACTGTTGCTCTTCATTCAAATTCTTAACAAAGAAACTATCCAACCTAGGATTCTTGGCCAGCTCCTGGGCATTGAGCCCGTGCCCAACAACTCTCTTATACTTCACCTCTCGGGGCAAATGGCTAACCCAAGAGCTCATAAGGTCCAGCACTTCCCATCCAGAAAATAACCTCTCCCTGTACAAATCAGTCAGAGTGGAGATAAACTTGTCATCAACATGAGTCACAAATCGCGGGTAGGAGTAGAAGTCTCGGTCAGAGTAGGTGTTTAGCTTCGTCCGGCCTTTGTTGGAGAGGACGAATCTTTTGATGAGTTTGGATGTGGAGGAGGATGATGATGATGTTGGTTGGTTGGTTTGGTTGTTGTTGTTGGAGGTGGGAGAGGATGCAGAGATTCTTGGGAGGGAAGGATGGATGTGAAAGGGAAAGTTTACCCATGATCGTGTTCTTGCGGTGGGAATTGGATGGAGGGAAAGCATGACAAAAGAAGAGTGGAATTGATATTATCCTTGGAAAGGAATTGTAGCTGGTGGTGTGCTACCTTATATGGGAGAGTAGGCCCAATTAATATTTATGTGTATACAAGTGGTTTGCCTGCTCGCACGGTCAGTCTTGTTTCTTCAGTTTGTATATATGATTACCTTTACTTTATGAGTTTCATTTTTAATTATGTTCATGCTTTTAAATTAAATTGCAGTAATTTTTTTCTAGGCCGATAAATTACACCTAAATATTTTATTGTTTGTCCGATATTGCACCAAAATATCACTAGTTATAAAACACTTCATTTATGTACCCTAAAATTTCTAAAATTGTACTTTAATACCCTAAAGTTTCATAAGCAATATAAACATGATAATTTCCCTAAAAAATTCTAATGCAACACTTAGTTGCTATTTAGATTACACTTTAACCCTTAATTTTTTTGTTAAATATATTGTTAAATGTATCAAAGTTCTATATTAAGCCGACCATTTTTTTTCTTCTGGCTACTGCTTCATCTTTTTTGTGTTTGCTATATAGTCCACTTTTTTTTATAAATATGAGCATAGAAATGACTTGAAACAATGACTTATAATATAATAACAATGACTTATAATATCATAACGAACATGATATTAATATTTAAATTTTTCCATAGCATTCTGAACATAACTTGTGAGATGAAAGAGATTGCATGAATTTAAAACTCAAAATTAGATTACTTGAGTTGGAACTTTTTTTTCTAATAAAGAAAATACAAAATAAGGCCGTGGATTACATTTATTTGAAAGTTTGAAATTCAAACTCCTCTCTATAAAACATTGAAATATGGATACATTTCACTAAACCCCTAATAAGTTCCAGTGTTTAGCACTATATCCGCAGGATCTTTGAAACTCTCATAAAACCTCTAATAAATATTGATAGAAAATCCTCAAACTTAACACTGTTGGTCGATGTGTGGTCAAATTACCAAAATACCCCTAATAAGCTTTGGCAAAAAAACCCTAATAAGCTTCAGATTTTATCACTTAACCCCCACTAATTTTTGACAACATCCTTAATAACATTTGCTTATAATTTTTAAATTTTTTTGTTATTTGTTTGTAATTTTTAAATTTTAGAGGGAGTTGTTTGTGGTTTTTTATTTTTTTTCAGGAATTTATTTGAAGGTTTAGAAATTTTCAGGGAATTGTTTGTAATTTTTTAAATTTTAAAAGCCCGATCACAATTTTTAATTTTTTTTACAGATTATTTACAATTTCATACTTTTAGGGGTTTATTTGTAATTTTGGATTTATGGTATTATTTATATTATTTATATTTTTTAGAGTTTTGTTTATATTACGGAGTTTCAGACTTTAACTGGTTTCTTCCATGTGCTTCATTTACTTTTTTTTTGGGGGGGGGGGGGGGGGGCGGGGG